TATATATATATATATATACATACACACACACATAAATATAAAAAGAGATATATTTTCAAACCTTGGTAAATCACATTGTAAAAGAAAAACATGTTCAGCTGGAGCAAGAAATGCAAATACAGGTAAAAAAAACACAATAATTTATATATTTGGACGACTGCCCAGAACTCCATAGTCTGGCCACCACATGTTCCAAAATGTAGGTAACAAGTGCAATGTCCTCTTATTAATACTGGTTTTTATATCAATTCTAAACACTTAAGCCACTGGTTTACCTTCAAAGCTGGGAGGAGCGTTTAATTGATGTCAGTAACTTTGATACCTCACTTAAAAAAAATAATTACTTATTAGACAACTGTAGTTTACATACCCAAATTTTGATGAAAGAAAATTAAAACTATTTTAGATATTTATATTAATTTAAATAGCTATTTTGAAAAAAAAAAAAAAAAAGATTAAATATAATGCAGTTTGTGCTAACAAAAATTATTTCCATTAATTTATGTAGACTGAAACAGAACAAACATCAGCAATTTTACTGTTAAACTGAGTTTACAAAATGTAAATTCACATCACAACATTATTAACTTTCAACATTTGAATGTATCACAGACTAAAGCGGCCCATCCACGTAAGAGTCTGACTTGCGAGTCTGGCTCGGCGAGCTTGACTCGTGAGCCGGGCTCGGATATATTTCACCACACATGCATAGCAGACTCGGCTCGTGACACCCCACCCACAAACAAGTTTGGCTCAATGGAACCCGAGCTGAACCGGACTTGCAAGCCAGACTCATACGTGGATGGGCCGCTTAAAACACGAACAATATGTTTCACTGTTCCCAAGTGCCACTTCTTGGCACACTAAAATTTAAATGTCAAATTGTCCTTACGCATCACATAGATGAAGATGTATGGAGGAGTTGAGATAATGCTAGAAACATTCTTAATCTAAGCATCAGATGGAAGTGCGCAATCAGCTTCGTGCCCCAGCTAATTTACCCTGGGGAAATGATCAAATGCCAACATCACATGGCTGCGCTCAAATGTAAACAATACCAAGTTCTGCAATGTATGTTTTATTAATTGTAACATGTATTTTAATTTGTATTTTTTATCACTGATAGTTTTGAATATATTTATAATTTTATATAAGGGAACACTGGTTCATTAAATGTCAGTGATTTAACCTGGGCCCTGACATGAGAGATGCTTAACGTAGTTAAACCTCATAGAACTTCTGATTCTAAGTTACACAACCCATGAGTGGTAACAGAGGTACATGTCATACAAATCACACCACTACAAAAATGCTTTCAAACATAAACATACCTGATCCTACCATATCCTTAACAAAACACTGTGGAAAACGGTCACTTTCCATCTTGTCTTCCAATCGGAACGAACGCCGACCTTCAATTTCCTCATCTCCAAGAGCCCAGTCATCTGTGTAGTGCTTTCGTTCTTTGCGATCTCGCTGCAAAAGAAATACATAAGTAACATTCAATGAGTATAACAGAAGTAAATAAATATTCATTTTGTGAAATGGGGTCAGCTAGATTAGCCTCAGTAGGTATCCAGCGGATGAGGCGGTGGCCTGTCTTTTATTTTAAACCAGGTAACAAAGAGCTTTCATAAAATATCGAAATCCCTTATACTCTTTCCTTTTCCCGTAGTAAGGACAAGTATGTGCTGGCCAGTGGGAACTAATATTAGGAATAACCCGACTTCAATTGATTCCTTATATTTGACATTCACATATTTGAAGGATCTATTTATTACCTACTGATGTTATATTTTTCTTCATCTGTTTTCTACTGGTCTACATTACACGCAGACCTATACCACTGCTGGGTTGTAGATTTTGCATTTTCTGTCATATTTATACTTTCACATATGTCTACACCAACAGCATGATCACCTGGTCAAATCAATTCCATCCCCAAATTTACTACTTCCCTTCTAGACAAATTAACAAAACAATGGGAATAATGCATCGCCTTTAATTTATTTAAATTAAATTTTTAAAAAATTATAAATTTTCCATAAACTATTTGTATGCTACATTCCAAGAACATGCAAAATGAATCATCAAAAATGTTTTTTAAGTTTGTAAATAGCTTATGTACTGTATCACTGAACACTCATTCTTTCAAACCGTCTAATATACGGGATATGAACAGTATCTAGGTCTCATAATACAGTAATCTGATTCCATTAAGAAGTGTACTTTATTTTAAAATATTAGAAGGTGTAGTCCATGTCTTGACGACACCTAATAAAAATTGATGATAATAATTTATCCTTTTAGTACTGCTATCACAATGTTACAAATGTCTCTGACAGACACAAAATAAGATCATTTATGTGGATGTTTTATCTGGAAAAAATTTACATTGAGAGGGTGGAAAGCAATCATTCAAACTGAAAGTCACAAATGACAAATTGATGGCATTTCAACACACCAAAGGAAAACATATGGCAAATAAACATGAAGTATTCTACTAAAATGGTCCCTAAAATTCTCAACAGAGAAAAAATACTGAGACAGAAGAAACTTTGTTCCAATCTTCTTACAATTCAAAACAACAAAACTCTCATCAGCCAAGTCACCAATGATTATAACAATTTTTCAGTGTGGTCAACAGACCATGGAATTGTTCATTCACAATCCATTCCTGAGGACCATTATGTGAAGCAGATATTACAGTATAGTCCTGATTTTACAACATACATAGGGCCAAATAATTGAAAATGTCAGATAAAATGTGAAGATTAATGAAAAAGACAGGAGTAAATATCAACTCAATATGATATTATTAAATTACTAATAAAATAGAAAACAGCATCAAAAGAAAAAATCTCACAGACAAAAATAGTATTTAACAAAATGTAAATTAATAAATGAGTTACTTTTGTAACAAATTAGTAATTGATACTTGCTTCCAAGCCTCCTTCCTTTTCTTTGCAGCAAGGCATTTAGTACATGAAACGTATGTGTGGGGTGGGATTCCACTATATGCTAAGTTGACTGTTGATAAACAGAGCATTCCAACATGGCATGTCGGTTAGAACCGAATGTCTGATAACTCAAGGTCAGATAATCGGGGCTCTGCCATATATATATATATGAAAGTTCTCTGATGTATGAGAAATTCAATTCACATTCTGAGGCCAAATTTTTGGTATGATCACAAGAATTTTCAACAAAATGTGCAACTACACAGGACTATCTCCATAGTTTCTTAACATTCTTAATTTTTCCAGAATTAACATATATCTGGGAGGGGGGGGGGACACTGTGACCCTACTTAAAATTTCACTGACAAAATTTCCAGGTGTCATCACAACCAAATGAGCAGTAATCCCAAGTGTTGTGATTTTATTTCTGGAAATAAGTTCAGTGATATGTTATAATTTCATTGTTTTACGCTGTTATTTAACTGGCGTAGCTCAGTCAGCATAGTGTCTGACTACAGATTGGATGCCCAGTAGCAAAGGATTTTTCTTCTAGCCTTTGCAACCAGACTGGCCCTGGGACCGACCCTACTCCTACCCAATACGTACCGGGATCCTTTCTCAGGGTAAAGTGCAGCCAGGGCATGACACTGACCAATCAACCCCATATAGTACTGAGGTCAAGAATGAGCACGAGCCATACCTCCTCTCCACCTAAGTACCACCACATCATGTAGCAGAACAGCTTAACTTCTACACCGTGATTACAATGTTATCAGCTGTTTCCATATTATCAGTTACCAAGCAAATGATAGTGCTTGGTATTTTAACAGAAGACAGTCAAGAATAATAAATCCTAGGTAAGAACAACAACTAGAAATTAATGCAAAGAAGATTTGGAGTCCAACAGCAGCCAAAATTAAGATTACAAATTACATAGTGACTCATATTAAAATAATGAATTTATGTTCAACACAACTACTGAACAACATCCTCAGTGTTTGTGTGTGTGGGGTGCCTGAAATGAGAGTTTCACTAATTACACACAAAATTAAATGTAGTCTTCAACAGCAGTCACATTTTGATCAAAATGTTTGAACTTATACCCTGATTCCAACAAACATCCATCCAATGGCACTATAGCCCAATTTCAGGCCTTGGCCTCTTCTCATATGGGAGGTTTCTTTGTCCTTGAAGTGTGCATCTGTGAGTAGTGAGTGACAAGCCTCTGCAAAATTTCTACTCAATCTTAATTTGTCTGCTAGAGTCATCTAGTAGAGAATCACAAGACACATGGGTGAGAAATGGCCGCTGAATTCTGCTTACAAAACATATCATTTCATGCTCGTAAGGTTCTTTTACGTGCCGTAAATCTACGACATGGGACCGCCGGCTTTACTTCCCCTCTGAAGGAACTTCTGCTACGGATTTTTATCACCCTTAAAAATCCATCGACCTCGGCTGGGTTCGAACCCACGAACCTTGGGTCCAGTGGCGAGCACGCTAACCACTAGGCGATCCAACAAACTGAAGGTAACAATAAACCACTACCAACAGTTACTAGTGGCTGTATGTTGTAACTCAAAGATTACTAAACAGATTTCAAACACATCTGATAATCTGTAACTGCACCAGAACTACAAGAATTTAATTTTGGACATCGGTTAAATAATACCCCACCTCACACAAAGTTCAAACTGAACTTTATTTTCACAAAGGTGACAACATACACAGCATTGGTACATGACATAAACCATAGGTTTCCTTAAATCCTACAGTGTTTATTTTGAGTCATGTGGGGATACCCGACAAACACACCAGATTTAACCCCATCTGTCCATTTCTTGTGGGAACAAATGAATGATGTGGTGTACAGCACAAAGCCAACAACATTTCAAGAAGAAATTAAATGAACTTGCACAGCCGTCCCATACGCAAGAAGCCTGTTATACGTACACTAACAAAATGAGCCAAGACAACTTGTTACTCAGTCTAGATGGTGAAATACAACACTTAAGAAAAATATTCCACCAAACTGGATACAGTACAATAGAGTGCCACTTCACTTCACCAAAAACCAAATGAACATTCATAGATGCAAACCACCTTGGAAGGCTGTAAAACAATTCACGCAGTCAACCCCTGATATGTTCAGAAAATTTCTTAATTATAGCATTACCATAATGCAATGGCCAACCAAGAAGAGTACCAACATGATGAGGCTGATGAAAGATGTGGGGCAAACATGTCAAACATAAAATGCATTGTGTAAATGCATATGTATGTTGGACAGATGAGGCACACCACAAAATCCAGATGCAAACAACATGCTACCATAAATGCCTGACAATCAGATAAATCCTCCATAGAAGAACATTGTATAGAAACAGATCACAGAATGAATTCTGATGAGATGACTACTAGCTAGAATCACAGGACACAAGGCATGCCTAGTGAATGAGGTCATTAAGATCCAATTGTGGTGATAAATTCATGATAAGATGAGCAGGGTGCTCTCTCACCAACATGCTCCAGAAAACCACAGAAAGAGTTCATAACATTTAGACAGGGCAGGGGTGGATAGGTCCACAGCTAAGTTAAGAAATATATAAACAGAACAGGAGGTGAAGGGGGTAACCTTGCTTCAAATAACAAAACATATTCACAAATGAATAAAAACAACATTGAAACATGATACACAACACCAGATGAATTAAAACAGTGGTAGTCCATAAATTACAACAATGTGATCATGCTAATACAGTGAATGTTTATAAATAGATCCTAATTCTGTTCACAATGGTGAAATAGACTTCCCTCTGACTTTCTTCTGTGATGAGGTTTGGTTTCCTTTACATGAGGAGACAAATTTATACAACATATAATAGAGCTCTCACAATCTAAGACTAATGCATGCAGTTCTACTACAAACACCTAAATTAGTATATAGTGCAGTGTCAATACAGACAGAACAAATGTAACTAGTTCTGAGAATATAATTATGATAGGGATATGGAACGGATACTTCATTTTTTACCAATTAACAGATGAAGAATGCCTATATGCACTACCCACAGATAAAAGGCATTTAAGGGAAGGGTATGGGGCCAGAATTATTAATTACTGGTTTCCCATCAGCATGCTACCCTGACCACAGCCCCAAAGCAAAATGTTTACAGATTACACCTAAATAAAGAACCGAGGAAAAATATTCTCCATTTCCCAAAACTTTTTGCACGTGTGAATACTCGTTACAGAAGCATTAGGAACGTGAGTGGAAGAACAGAGAGCATTTCTAACATTTACTGTAACACAGCAATATCTTCCTTGAACTCTGATTAGGCTGTAGCTTATTACTGGCTCTGCTAGCATCACAATCTGTTGCACAACTTGACAGGCATTAAACTCTTTCGCCCAAGATGTTGAATGAAATTTGACCACACTTGCTACAAACCTTCCTTTATAATAACAGTGAAATGCCTGAAGCTTAGAAATTCCAACTTGTAAATGATAAGTGTA